ACAGATTGCCTCACGGGGGGATAACCATATCATGAGTTTGCAACCACAGTTTTCTACTGTTTTTCAGTAGTTATCAAGTAGATGCTGCAGTTCATCTCCTTGGTCAGTTTCCAACACCGACGAGATGATACGGGAGCATTCTGGATGTTTCAGTAGAAAAGGTCCTATATAAAAGCGATTGAATTGGCGATACAAGCGAAGATTTAGGAGCGAAATAAAGTGAACTAAAGTATTAAGTGTGAATAATTATTAGTGTGTTTTAAATTTTAATTGGTGTTCGGTAATTAAAGTGCCAATTTTGGTAATTCCATCGGCAGCTTTTATTGTCAAACGGTCTCCGGTTCTCTACACTCACCATACGAAATACAGCAGCATTAAGCTGCTATTTTACGCTGGTATTCTGTGAAAGCGTGGTCTTTCCCCTCTCGAGCCAACCCATCCGTATAAAATGATCGATCTGATCATCGTAGTATGTCTGGTAAATTACATCAAAAATATTGTTTATATAATTTGCAATCCATAACACATACTGTTTATTGATTAAAACTACTTTTACGGATTTTATGGCGTTTAATTTTAATTTTTTTATAAATTATTAAAATTAAACACGATAAATTTTGGGTGCTTTCCAGCACCTGTGGTCACGGGGGACTCACGAAACGTCGGGAATTTAAAAACATATTAAAATTAAACGCGATGGAATCCGTAAAATTAGTTTTAATCAATATGTAATGTTCGTGTAAATATAAGAAATCATTAAAAACTGTTTATATTTAGTGAATGGTATCCTTATGAAAATATAGTGAGGCCGAATACGAAGCAATTGACCTTCCTCGTTTCGCGGCGAACCGCGCGCTGTCTATCGAACAACACGTGGGTTAGCCGTACGAGTGCGCCACCGCTATCTCGGTATGCAGAGTAGTGAATAACAGAGAAAGCATTGCTTACTTCTTAATTAAATCTTTTTTATTTATAAGTTCCTATAGATTATAAATTCTGTACTTTATTTGTGACAAACATTCAAAAATAATAATCTTTCCTCTTTATAATATTAGCATAGATTATAAGTTCTGTAAAGTAATATTATTATGCAAATTGCATAAATAATAAAGGATAAAACTAAGAAGTCCCTGTTGGCCCCATAGTGGGGGTAGGTACTGTGTGTATAAATTCTCACAAAACTACTTCGATCGGTCATTCACATCACACCTGTAGTATGTCAGTTTTCTTAATTATGTACTTACCCCATACTTTCAGACAATACATTGACCATGACATTGCGGTCTCTGTACTTACACTACTCTGTACATTATTTTCCGACTCTGTCGTGATATTTACATTTTTAGAGTTTCTCACTTCATCACGCAGAAACGTATAAATGATTAGTTTTGCTAATGTAACTTAGTAAAAATGCAGCCTATAAGGCAGCCTCCAACAAAAAAGTACCTTACAAAAAATATAACCTCAAAGTGGAAAGTACCACATTCGAGCACCATTCTTGCGCTAAAGTCTCTTTGTTTTACCACTTCGATAATATTTATTTCCTTTCCTACGCATATCCATATTTATAGTCACGTGTAAACCACTACTAAGTTACTTACTTACTTATCTTCACGCACAATCCCTAACGGGGTAGCCAGAGAGAACAGATCGCCAAGTGTCACGATCCTTACATACCTCTTTCGCTTCTTTCAGGTTCATTAACTTCTTCATACATGCACGTCTGGGTATCCGAGTACTCTTGACCTTCCCCTCTTCGAGCAATTTGCTCACATGGTCTTCGAAAGTTAGTCTCGGTCTACCTCGACACCTTTTAATATTTACTTTCGCTCTATATATTTTCTTCACCATTCGGTCTTCACTCATTCGCTCAACGTGCCCAAACCATTGGAGTAAACCACTAAATTAACGAATTTCTATATAAACATAACTAACTATTGTCACATTATGCCACACATCGAAGCGCCTAGTAATTTATGACGGCAAACATTTATCTGGCAATATACAATATTATTACTAGGCGTTTGTAATTAAAACGATTTATGTTAATAAAACAATTTTTGTATCGTATAAGCTCGAAAATGAAGAAAGCAGGCACCTTCGGAATCACAATATAAATACTTTTACGTAAAAATATTTTACCTAAATTTATATTCACAGAATTTTGGAATAAAATAATTTTTAGGTATCATTATTTACTACATTTTTATTGGTATTTTGACTTATATTAAAATTTTAAAATGGCGGGCACTTTATGAAGGAACCGAACAAATCCACAAGAAATGTTTTAACACTTACACACACACACACACTGGTGAACAGAAACACATGAAGTTTTGCCAGTTCTCTTCGTATTCGGTCTTAAAATTTCGATTTAACGTTTATAATATTATGATTTAATTGGCATAAACGTAATTAAAATAATGTTTTACCGTGCAGTAGCAGTGTAAGAATATCCACCACCCCATATCATCCCGTGGCTATCGTAAGAGGCGACAGGGGAAAAGAAACCAGGAGATGGGCAACAGCGTCTTCCTAATAACGACTAAAAATAAAAATAAACCGATTTTGCCAACTCACTTGTTAAGCTCTCGCCATGAGACAATCAATGGGGGAGGTCTATATTCAGCAGTTGACTTTAATATGCTGTAACGGAAAACGGTATTATTAATGTGTACAAAAATTTGTAATTGTATCATTACTCATTAGTTACTTACCGTTATATAACGTGACCGTAAAATTAATATATGTTATTGATACACTAGGAATATGTATTTTTGAAACGAATAAATTAGTTCATATTTTGATACAAAAGTGAATGTAATAAAACGTGGTATCACATGCAGCCAACTTCAAACAAAGAATCCCACAAAATACTAAAATGGTACGCCTGTCAGCCCGTTATTATACTGTATCTTGATACCCGTCAGACCAGAGCAAGGCTGAGAGTTGTACCAGGACCGGACTTTGTGGCAATCGATGAGGAATGCCTATATTCAGCATTGTCTTGTGATGAGCTGTGGTATTAGTAATGGCAGTGAGCAAATAACTAACTACTATACGGAATCAATTTCTCTGTTACCTTATTAAAAATTATTACATAACGCTATAAATACAGAACTGTCTGTTATCTGTTAATAATTTAAAATGACAATATGAATAAACTGCAAAAGGATTCACATAATTTATGCATATGAATTGGTGTCTATAATTCTAATATTTTTGGAAGGAACAATGCCAAAGATCGTATAAAAGGATTTCGAAGCGGAATTAGCGAAAAAGCAAATTAGAGCTATGCTGCAATTATGTAAGTAGTATAGTTGTAGCACAAATGGGTCGGCTCGACCGGGGAAGTATACCACGCTCTCAGAAGAATACCAGTGTAAAATAGTAGCTTAATGCTGCCGTGTTTCGTATGGTGAGTGTAGAGAATCGGAGACCCTTTTTTACTGGAAACGAGGCATTTCATCTTAGTCCTCACGGGTGACAACGCGTCTGCATTTTGATTCATAATCGAGGATAGATGTAGATGTCTATGAGCCTTAGCATCCACTTACCATCAGGTGGACTGCGTGATCGTTGGTCACCCTATCCTATAAATAAAAATTTATTAATTTAGGAATTATATTGGCTTTCCTTTTATTTATTGTTCATTTTGACAAAAAGTTCAGATGTGTCACGAAATTGATGATATGAGAAAACATCAAAAAGAAAACTTATTTGTTAAAATAAATTTAATCAATGCAATTTATCAAAAACTGTATAAATAAAGACTTAATTGTGCATTATTTGTTTCTTTCAATTTTTACAAATGTATAATGAAAACTATAACTGTATTTTATTTATACATAGTTTATTGTATTTTAAACAGCTCTCCAATTTACTTTACAATACAAATATTTTCAGTTTATAATATGAATTCGTATTATTGACTGAAAATATTTGTATTGTGAAGTAAATTGGCTTCATGTTCGTGTACCAAATTTCAATCATCTTCGTGTAATGGAAGAGAATTAAAAAAAATGTTGTTACACAGACACAATGACAAAAGATTATAAACAATTTTAGCATGGAACGGAAATTATGTCGATGAAGAAAAGCAAGGCCACCGTCAAAACCTAGTATGATGTTGGTATGCGGCTTGATTACCCCTTAAACTACTGATGATAATTTATGATAGTAATTATAAATAGTACTTAAATATGATAGTAGTGATAATATTTTTTTAAATATCAGCGTGCCGGTAACAAAGTGCTTTTGATTGGTTTCTTGACCAAGTTCTGACGGTATAATATTACTTTTCGAAAATTTAAGAACGAACAACGTACGTTGAGCCAAAAAATATCTCAGCGGGCCCTGAGCGGGCTTATGAAATATGTTTTCAACGTGATCTAATACATAATTATCCTTTTTCATTGGATATCTTCTCAATCGTCATAAATTCCCAAGCCGTCGCATGCGTCCTTCAAATCCCTAAATCCAAAATAATCTGCGAATAAAAATTGAAAACTGGCGCTAAACTTCAAGTTTCGTTCCCAAACATACAAAGTTATAGTACAGTTATAGTGTTATAGTACAAGTAACATAATGATATTTAAAACTGTGTGAAGTGCTCAGTTTATGTGTGTTAAAATCAAAATAACTTATGTGTTTGTGCGGTACTCTTCAATTATTATCAAGTTATAAAGTCATAATTTGAACTTTGGACCCATTAACACCTCGTACAAATATAGACGCATTTCAATAAGTGATCAACCATACTGTGTATTTCGTCGCTCAGTTAGGACAACAGGTAGCGTAGCGGTAGAGGAGTTATGGATGAACTTAAACACTGGCGATCTGGAATCCATAGTTGGAATCCTGGCGCCACAATGTTTTTTAATTTAATTTTTTTTCTTTTTTATTATTAAACTTTTATTTTTGTCTCTGTTGGGAGAAGGAAAATATAAACATTTTTTAGTTGTTATTTTGTAACCCGAAAGAAGTCAAAAAAGTGCAAAATGATCTGCGGGGGTTGCCGTCTATTAATGAACACAGATTGTTCCTTACATTGCCACACTTGTGATATCAACTATCACTATGAATGCCTAAATATAAACAAGGAGCAGTTTGTATCGCTTTCTACGGAATTTCGTTCCTCTTGGACCTGCCCTGCATGTGTGAATGTAACAAGACGTATAAAAACTAACTTAAGCACACCTGTACGTCACAATCAGGTACCATCTACGGAGCAGTCTATGGACCTATCGTGCGAAATTCTGAACAAAAGTGAGGCGCACATACCATCAGATTCGGTCTCCATCGAGAAATTTAATGAACTGCTTAATACTATCAATTTGTGGCGTAACGACATTAAATCTAACATAATGAGTATTAGAGACGAAATTAAGAATGATATGAACTCTAACTTTATGAGTATTAGGGAATAAATTAAAAATACCTTAAGTGACATCCAATCTGAAATTAAGTCTCTACGGGAGGAGCATGCCACCCTGAGATAAAATGTTTCTAATATAAACATAGAATTATCGTCCCTTCAAAACTCCATTCAATTTCAATCTGACGAACATGGTACAATAAGTACAATGTACACAGCGTGGGCTATTATAAAGCTTTGTTTACTACTTTAAAGCCGTTTTCTATTAGAGTAACGCTGAAAGTATATTTGATTACACCACAAACTACTATAAGCAAAAGATTTGATTATAGTAGTTTTACAGAAAATCACAGTTTTATCGATATGTAAGCAAACCTTTTTAAAATTTAAAATATATATATATATATATATATATATATATATATATATATATAAAAAAACCCTCAGTTGCGTTAGTTTTGAGGACTGTTCATTGCTCTCATGGCCTATATATGGACTTTCCACGGTCGAATCGACTCATTTATTATACGTGGTAGAAGCACGCTGCGGCTATACCTACTATTGTTGTAGCACAAATGGGTCGGTACGAATCGGTCGGAGAAAGACCACGCTCTCACAGAATACCAGCATAAAACAGCAGCTTAATATATATATAACAGCATAGTTTCGTATGGTGAGTGTAGAGATCCAGATACCCTTTTTTACTGGAAACGAGGCATTCCATTTTAGTCCTCAGGGGTGATAACGCACGTTTCTGCGTTTTGATTCTTAATCGAGGATAGATGTAGATGTCTATTGGCTACAGCATCCACCTACCATCAGGTGGACTGTGTGCTCGTTTGTCACCCTTATTTTAATACAAAAAAATTATGCTGAAAACATAAACACACTCAGTCTCAAATAATTATGGCAATACCAACTGAAAAGAAGACTTTGGACATTAAGATGAACGATCTTAAAGTCCAAAGTCTTCTTTTAGAAATAATACGTTTATTTTTGTTTAAATTTATAAAAATTGTGCACTTGAATCAAAACTCCAAGATATAACTATTTTTTAATTAAAGTTACTTTTAGAAATTTCTTTAATAATAATAAAAATAATTAAATTTATTTCAGACCCACATGTAGTCCACAATATGTTAGTAAATTAGCTTAACCTATCTTAGTTTTAAATTATTACACGTACAATTTTCATAACATTTATTTTTTTATTTTTGGCACCCCATGACACCAGGCACATGCAAGTGTATACGCATCCAGTGCCATAGGATGGGACAATCAAATCTATCAGATATTGCCCTCAGAATGCTATTACAGCTCCCACGAACCCTGCGCATGAGGGATGCTATTCTCTTTCTAAGTATGGCATGAAAACCGTCCGTACCGTACGCTGTAAATATCCCTGAAGCACTACAATACCGCGGAAACCCCATCAGCATCCTAAAGACATTATTATATTGTACCCGAAGGGCATTGTAGGCTCTCTGCGTGTACTTAACCCATAGACTGCACGTGTAAAATGACTGGCAAAAGGCTTTGAAAAATTTTACCTAACTTCTTCTGTACAGCGTGCAAAGCTACGGGACTGCATGTTACAGCGCCAATGCCCTTCTTTCTCTTTCTATTTCCGCATCATCAGTTAGATCCTCAGTTAAAACGTGACCAAGATACCTAAATTGATACACTCTATTTAACTGTACGTTCCTTAATTTAAGAGGTGGAACCGTTTCAATTTTTGATCCAGCTCAAAATAACAACACTTCACTTTTTTTTACATTATAAATGAGACCATGAGTCTCAGCATAAGTATCACAAATATTAAGTAATATCCTCAGTGCGTTAATCGATGTGCTCAGCAACACCATGTCGTCTGCATAGCTTATGCTGTTAACGAAATGCCCATCAATTGAGCAGCCGACACCAGCGTTGCTGAGCTCAACGATTAACTGGTTAATGTACAGTTTGAAGAGCGCTGGTGAAGTTAGGCTACCCTGTCTCACCCCGCACTCTAACCTGTTCTCGTTGGACAGTGCCTCTGTCCATCTCACCTGATTTATTTGATGGCCATACCAGTATTTAAATATTTCAATCAACTCGCTTGGTAAGGCCACTTCACGCAGCTTCTTCCACAGAATATAATAATTAACTAGGTTAAATGCCTTTGACAGATCCAGGAAGGCAGCGTAAATTGGTGTTTTCCTATTGTTATAGTACCTAACAGTATGCTTGAGTGTTAATATTGCACTCTCAGTAGAGAGACTCTTTCTAAATCCGAACTGAGCATCATGTAATTTTAGATATCCACTGAGATGCCGCTCAAGCAGACTGTCAAACACCTTAGCCATGATAGTAGCTAATGAGATGGGCCTATAGTTCTCTTTGTCAGATATATCTCCAGCTTTATTTTTTACTATAGATACAACAATAGTTCTCATCAGTTGCTCAGGAAGATAGGAATGTCTCATGCAAAGGGTGTAGAAGGTAGCTAGAAGCCTGGAGAGATGAGGCCCCGCATGCAGAAGATGCTCAATGCTGAGGCCATCATGCCCTGGCGATTTACCCCTCGTCATGTTTTTAATTACGTCGAAAACTTCATTCGGCGTAAAGCTAATTGGCACGCCCGCGCCCGTCTGGCCGTCCTCAACATCTGACACTATCCGCGACGAAATGTTCGGTGATATTACTTTAAAATGCTCTTGAAATAAATTTGCTATCTCTCCTGGCTCATTCACCCCCTCAATACTCACCGGGATACTCTGCTTAGGATTCACCTTTTTTGTACGTTTCCAAAAATTTTTAAAGTCTTTGTTTTTACAACAATCAGTTGTCTAATTAGGAGATCGGAGATAATGGAAACCGTTGATAAAATTATAAATGAGTTATTGTTGGAAAAGAAAATAAATTATTTTACGTTTTAATACTGTGGGTAATATTGTCATAATGAGTTTTGACATAAAATTACGTAATAATATTTCAATGTTGCTAATTAACTTATTTACTTAATAAACAGTATATTTTATATTTCATAATTTCCACCACACGCTATTTCTTTGAGTCGTAGTAGTTCTAAAGGCTTGTTGTTAATTTCACAGTACGGCTAAAGGCCAAAACAATCGCTCTCATTTCTATAATACGCGAACACTCTGGATTCAATACCCGCCATCTGGGAAAAAATTACAAAGTTATATGAAGTTTCTCAACACGCATTGGGGTAGTGCATCATACATTTCCCGGTGCTAAAACCCTCTCATAAATGATAGGAAGTCCCCAGCAATGGCAATTATAAATGCTGTAAATTTACTTTTATGTATTAATAACTTTGTCTCATTTACTAATTCCATCCGCTAAATACAAAAAAAACTTGCCGTACTATCTATACTATCTGGATCTCCACGGTATGATTTACAAGAAGTTTTCTTCCTCGCACATCTTCCTTCTGGCTTCGACTATCAGACTTGTTTAGACTTGTTTCTTTTTCTCTTACATACAAAAATATCCCACAAACACCTACTAGGTCTCTCCTGTATATTGCCACAAAGTATGTTTCTAAGCCACCTGCATCCATTGATTGCATGAGCTTTTCATCAGATCACCACCCCATATAGGAGGGAGTTGCCCAACAGTGCGCTTGCCAGTACTAGACCACCACTCGAAAACCTTTATTACATAACATAAACATAAACACTCACGTCTATCACCCAGAGGGGTAGGCAGAGACTACGGACTTCCATTTGGCACGATCCTGACATACCTCTTTCGCCTCCTTTACATCCATATATCTACGCACGCATGCTCGTCGGTTAAGGGTAATTCTAACGTGACCCATTTTCAAAATATCGCCAATTTAGTCGAAAAAACTTTTTTCTAGGGCGTCCCTTCCCGACTCGGCCGTTCACATCTGCCATATAAATTTGCTTTGTCACTCTTTCCTCATTCATTCTTTCTACATGACCAAACCCCCGAAGCATTCCTTTCTTAATCCTGGTCACAACATCATTATGCATACCACATTTTCTCTTATCACGCAATTTCTCACCCTGTCATTCAAATTCAACCCTAGCATATTCCTTAAATACCGCAATTCTACAGCATTTATTCTACTTTCGTGCTTCTTCTGCCACACCCAGCTTTCACTACCATACATTAAAGTAGGGACTAACACAGCATTATGAACTACCATACGTGCCTTTTTTGACACATTCTGGTTCTTCATAATAGAGTGTAGTGCCCCATTCACTCTATTCCCTGCATTTACTCGTCGTTCTATATCCCTATCATATCTACCATCCCCTACACATCCCAAATACACAAATTCATCCACTTGCTCAATTAACTCTCCTTCTATTCTTATTTCACATAACGTTTTGCTATCTTCTCCTTCAAAAACCATCACTTTCGTCTTACTTGCGTTTACTTTCATTCCCCTTTCTTTTAATTCCCAGTTCATTAATGTAACCATCATTTGCAACTCAGCCGCCGATGACGCAAATATGACTTGATCATCGACATACAGAAGGCATTTGACGGTTAACTCGCCCATTTTTAACCCACATTCAAGGGGAAGCTACGCAGCCCTCTCTGACACCTTTTTGGATGCCAAACCAGTCCGAGTAGACACCATTGATCCTGACACAAGCATTAGAGTTCCTATAAATAGACCTTAATGCCTGTATCAAATCAGCGCTCAACCCATATGAGTTCAGTGTTTGACCATTCCTGTCCACTCTGTCATAAGCCTTTTCCAAGTTAATGAACGCACAAAAAACTTTCCGGTTTTTTGGCCAAAAACTTCTCCGCAATCATGCGCATGCAAAATAATTGATCTGTACACCCCATTCCCTTTCTAAAACCCGCTTGCACATCACACATTTTTCCATCAGTTTCTTTCATAACTATTTCAATTAAAACCTTAGCATACAGTTTACCCACAATACTAAGCAAGCTGATATCACGGTAGTTTTTGCAGACCTGCTGTGACCCTTTTCCTTTATATATTGGTACTATAACTGCTTTACACCAGTCATCCGGTACCCGTTTTAATTCCCAACATAA